TACCATGACATGCAAGTGAACTGGATTTAAGTGAAGGAGGGCTGTGCAAGGTCACCAGCCTCAATTTCTCCTCCAGAGCCATCTGGGTCCAGTGGCCAGATAAAGATCAGGAGGGCTGGAGATGGCCCTGAACTGAGTACCAGGAAGCCAGAGCATTCAAAAAAGAGCTATTAATACTGACTAGTTCTGTGTTTAAAACTGCACCCAGGTGTGCTTTCCCAAACACTTAATTTGCCATTTCTAAGGGAAGGGGAAGCAGTGATTCATTACTTGAAGTTACAAAGCAATCTAAGCTGGAAAAAAATCAGTTTTCTTTTGCCACTTACCCATCACTAAGAGTTCCAATCAACCACGTAACCATCTAATCCTGATCATTTTTTCTTTTTACATTAGTACTCTCTGTTATGGCCATTCTGGAAAAGAGGAGAATTGTTCAAAATGTGGAGTTTCTTCCACTCTCTCCAACAAAACAAATCGAACTTGATAATGCTTGTTGACTTATGGATTGGTGATTTCTGATGTCTGAGAAACAGGCAATGGTAACCTCAATAACTGCTAACAATACTGCTCCCCTTATCAGCCACAATAACTATTCCCTTCTTAGTAACTTTTCTATCTGGGGGAAATAAGGGTCATTTTGAGACTTTTCTTCTCCTCTCCATCTCCACTTCCATTTGTTGCTACAGTTTAGAGTCCAATTAAGTACCAGTACTAACAAAGATAAATTCAGATAACAGATTTTTAAATCAAAGTTTTATTGAAAAGAACATTTTCATACAATATCTTTCATGGTCCTTTTGAAAAATACATTTGATGTTATGCTTTACATATTACTGTCTTCAAGTAGAAAGGGTGAAATATACCTTTATAGATTTATTCTATTGCACTTGAGCATAATTTCTTACTCCAGCACTTAAAAACCAAATTACAACAGTCTTTAAAATCTGATATTTTCATACGCAATATGGGTTAGCACTGAAATACTTGGTTAGATGCCCTAATCTTCACCAAAAACTCAAACCCTAATAAGAGGAAGAAGGGAGGTTATGTATTCTGCAGCTCAGTTTAAATGTCTACTGCTTGGAATGGTTTTGGCAACTTTTTATTCACAGTACTTCAGATGAAAAATCTCCTACTCCGTAGCTGTTCATAAAATCCACACTAGTGCACGCACATGCGCACACACACACATACACACACATACACACCACGTAGCAACCAAGTCACTGAGGTTTACTGCAGTTGGATCAAATGTAGACATGACTTATGAAAACTTAAGACCCACTACCTCTAATCTAATACATCTAGAACACAGTCACCAACCAGCCTGAAAAACACATGACATACAATTAGACAAAAAATTCCAGTAAGCACTAAAATCCATGGGAAAGTTTTCCTGTCATCAGAAAAGACTGGGAAGTTATAGAAATGGCAGCATGTTGGAATAGAGAGCTTTAAGGCAGGGTGGCCACTGCAACCTAAGGTATTTGGAGGTAGAAGGAAGAGAATGAAAGTTAAAATAGATACATGATTTGCTATCTAAAAATTATTTTTAAGTGTAGAGCCTCCCTACTTCAAAGGAATTTGATATCCAGATCAGTTTCCAACTTGATACACTACAATCAAAAAGCCCCATTTCTTTCAGATGTTGTGCAAAATATATGTCATCAAAAGTTACACAAATATGAGAATGCTCAACACAGAATGGAGACATGGTTGACTTTAGAATGTGCTGTGAAAAATACCTAAGCTCAAGACACCTTAGGTTTTGTAGCCCCAGTTCTAGTAATTTGTTACGTGGCGATATATAAGACTAATAATGTCTTTCTCCTGCTTCCACATCATCCATTAAAAAGAAAAACCTACTTCACTGGAATACTTTTTTTAAGTCCAATTAAAATGATAGTCCTTTAATTTGTGTAGAATACAACAGGAATGCTGAAAGAGTCATTTGTGCACCATGCTTATTACTTGCTCCCAACTTTACAGCTTCCCTGCTATATATACTCATAATCCCCATTTATTCAACACTGAACAGGTACCTTCATTAGGTACTTTTGTGCAAGTACTGTTAGGTATTGGCAAGCAACTCAGAAATGTAAGACACAGTTCTCTTCCTTCAAGGAACTTATGATACAATACTTCCAAACACTATCATAATTAACAAATTAAAAAAAAAACTTTCTGCATTTACAAGTAGTTTAAAGTCGGATGTTATTTTTCTTATAAAATCAAATCACGTAATTCTTTGTATAGCTCATCACTTTACAGAAAAGATTTAATCCTTAAAAGCTGAAGATAAAATTGTTTATATAAAATCTTATTTCAACATCTCTGTAAAATTGAACATCTGATCAGGAAAAGAAAAGGAATATCCTACTAAACTACACTGAAGAATTTGGCAAGAAAGGGATTGTGATGGAGCTCCATTTATCCTTTCTGAGAGTTCCCATTAGCTGTCTACCTTATGAGAGTCTCCATGAAGTTAAACTACCCCTTACAGCAAAAGACAGCATTTACTATTTCAAGTCATCTATTTCTAGCCATCAGTGAGCAGATTTTACTATAGACTAGACACTGAGGACAAGAAGGCTTAAGGAACAGAAACATCACGAAGGACAGGATCATCAGGTGTAATTTGTCCCCAACATTAAAAATTTTGACATGATAAATTCATAAGATGCTAATAAATATTTCACAGTTCCTGGGATCAAATTTTTTTTGCAATTAGTGAAATTTTTTAATGGCCTCATGAAAATATGGCCAAAGACATTTTATCTAAAATGAGCACTGAATTTAATTTCATTTCCCCTGGTTATATTTTTAAATACAATCAAGAAATACATTTAGATCTCATAGTTCGTGCAAAAAAATTAGCTACCTAATAATCTATGTTGTTTGTTTTTTATGTTGTTTTGAGGGTAAAAATCTGAATCATTTAGTTTGCCAGGCTGTCTTAAAATAAATTCTTTGTGAATTTAAAATACTTTTATTAAGAGAAAGTCTCAAGGCTAAGCAGACAGACCAACAAAGGTCAAGGTCAGTTTAAAGTACAAATTTATTTTGCAAAACATGGATAATGATGATTAGCAGATAGTTATGAGGAGTATTGCCTCATAAAACAGGGGGAAATGGACTAATCAGATCATCCCAGGAGCATTTACATGTAAAACAGTTTGAATAACACGTGAATATGCAACAGATTTGTTAATGCTTTTATTTACCTCATCAATGACAGCAAAATGATCACATTTGGTACCCGATGCATTGTTATAAACGGAAGTGGAAATGGCAGTTAAGGTAAGTCAGGAAGAACAATTAGAGATGACAAAATAAACATACGTGATTTTGAAGGCATCTAGGGATCAATTTTCAAAATCCTGAAGCCAGGAAGAAAAGAACTGGGAAAAAAAATACTAAAAGTGCTTAATGACACCATAGCCCTTTCTTGCCCAAATGTCTCTTTTTGCTAGAAAAAATCATCTATAATTGATCCAGTGATTCAATGGTGTCGTGAATGCTCAAGCCTGCATAACTGAGTATTGTACCTAAAGATAAGTCTATTTCTTCAATGAAGAATACCCTGGTTTTGCTGCTTATTCACTAAATGACTATGGTGGGCAAGGCCCTTAACCTCTCCAGGCCTCAGTTTCTTCACATATAGAGAGAGGTTGAATTAAATGATGTCTAAGGTCCCTTGCAATTGTAAATCTATGTCAGTAAAACTAAAATGAGGTCATCTTTGAGTTACCCTTCTGTTTTCTAAAGCTCTAAAATGTAAGAAACTGAAACAAATAAAAATCTCAGTTTAGCTCTGAAGAGAAAACAAACATTTACCAAGGGAAATTATCATATGGGGAGATTCCATCATCTTTTGTATATGTTTTAAACCCTGAGGTTAAAAAAAGGGCTAGAAAATTTTATGTCAGAGTATCTACCATTAATGTAACAAAATATCCTCTAGTAAAAAAAAAAAAAAAGGCAATCCAAAGATCAAAATGAACCTTTGTTACTTGATACAGAGTCAAATTTCATTAAAGGGTTTTGCTTATACCACTGATTAGGTTATGCCTTGGGGCAAATAAGCTCTTCCATTTATAAAATGATTTAGAACGTCTGGAAATAATGATATGCTGGGGAAGCAGCATGATGTAATGAAAAGACTACTGGACTGTCCATCATAAGACTATAGTTTTGCCACTAACAGCTGTATGACTTTGGGGAAGTAACTTTACCTCTCTGCCCTCTGTTCTCACATGTAAAATCTATTCTAGAAGATACGTCTATGATCTCTTTCAGCTCTGTAATTAGCAGTGAAATATTTTGTGTTTAGCTTCCTCAACACTTATCTTCCTATCCTATTTGTTTAAAATTATAGTGGTTTTCTATGATTCCGCAATAAAGACCGTCCTGGTACTTAGCTAAGCTTGTTTTATGAAGAATGTGAAGAACCTTCAGGACACAAGGGAAAGCATAGTGCCAAATGAGACCATACCAGCTTAACATGATAATAATGACAAATACTCTTCCACTACCCATTATATCTCCCAGAATGCTGCAGTCTTTTCCACCCAAGAGAACACTTGCCTACTTCAAGATCACAGATCAGATAAGAATTTGCATTTCAGGGTTAGCAAAAGCAGGAAGTAGTACATGTTAAATGTTTCATCTTCATTAACACCACTTTGATAAAAAAAAGTATACATAAATTTGTTTAGGGAAGTTCTATTACAAGGTAAACATTCCCTCAGCAATACAAAATTTTTTTTCAGTGAATGTTTTGTTTTGTGAAGTGTTAGCAAAGTCTCAGTTTTACAAAAAATCTATTTTTGCAAAACTACAAAATTTCTATAACCCAACAATAATTACTAATCTTTTCTCTAAAAGAGAAAATTAACAACAATCAGATTAATTGTTTCTTGGCAAAATAATTTGAAGTAGTACACCTTTACCAAGAATGCTGTTAAATCAGTCACTCACGGAAAGAATAAGAAGGTGGCTGTCTTCTACTATACTTTAATACTATATACATTCATTTGAACTAATGCAGAAATTATTTATACCAATCTTGTGATTTCAGGCTCCTACTCTCAATGTAGAAGCAATGGTAAGAATTTTGTTCATTAATTCAGTAGCTCTAAACTGTCATCAAATGGAAAATTTATAATACTCATGCAATTTCTTTGGGTGCACCGTGAATACAATTTCATAAAGAGAAGCAGGTTTTTCTTCATTAAAAAGTAAACAAACGGTGGCTCAGATTAGTGTCTGTAAAAATCATTCTTTCTGCTGAACAGCAGAGACAGTACATAAAGACCACAACAATGAACACCTGACCCTTCTTTAAAACCCACACAACAATCATGCATATACCTACTAAAAGAAAATCTCATTCTCCACACAGGAAATGTTTGACAAATTCTTCCATATTCAATTGTCTTAAGTCTTAAACTCCAAAATCTCTCAGTCATACTAATTCTGTCATTTTTCTATAATATGAACATTATTTCTGTGATAGGTTTAAAGAATAAATCAGAGTTTCACAGGCTTAACAGTGGTTAGAAGATTAGAAAAGACTAATTATACCTGTCAAGTAAAAGCAGCAGGATCATGGGAATATATCTTTTCCTCACCCCTTTAAAAGTCTCCGATTATTTCAGTTAAACTAGTTACAATTGCATTGATTCTTAGGTTCAGGAAATCTCTCTAGCAAGTCTTACAGCTCTGAAACTACTACTTAATTTACAACAAAATAATATATATAAATATACTTCAGGCCAATCAGTAGCAATAAATCCATAATTTAGTCCATATGTATATATGCATAGACAAGGTAGACAATTTTCCTAATGATAATCCATTGTTTTCTTTTCCTTATGTAGGAACCATTGACATATTTGATGTACCATAAATGCTCACTTCTTGAGATTGTAGGTCAGCTATGGAAAGCAGATAATCAAATTATACCATAGTAGAAAATGAACATATTTTTTTCTGCTCCCAATGGAAAATTAAGAACTTGCTATCACTAATATTCTCAAACATTCATTTCCTTCCTTGAGGATTTCTTGGCTATTTCAATTTTTAACATGATTTCATTTATAAGCAGAAAAAGAGTTATCCATTTCAGTATTCCTTCAAAAGTATCAATGCTCATCCTCTCAAATTAGATCCGTAAGAGTGCTTTGTCTTCACCTCTGCTTAAGATGCCTGTGTTAGGTCAAGTGCTCAACTCACCTCCCATGCTTTGTTTAGTCTCAGGACCTCCTCACTTCCATCTAGGAAACTGGTGACAGTTCAATGAAATCCATCACTTTCAAGCTTTAGGGGGTTCTTGAAAGCAATTTTATGTACGCAAAGCTTTGCACAGGAAAACAAAGCTAAAAAAAATCAGCATTTAAAAAATGAAAAGACAAACACAAATCATCATCTTTTCTTTCCCCCTCCCCCCAGAAGCCAGTAAGTATCCTTTCCCTTCATTTATTTACAAACTCCATAAAAATGGCAATGGGGAATTTAGGACTGCTTCCCATATAGAGAGAGCAGTTTTTACAAAAATCATTTGGAGACTAGCAGATGTTTAATTAGACCAAAACAGCCATTTGTACAACAGATGTATTTGCAAACCTTTGAAAACAATCCAAAAGAGTAATTTATGTGATAATGAATTTTTCTAAAAAAGTATTACCTTTTTATTTTGATAAGATAAAACAATAAAGGGGAATTTTTATACATTTAAAACTATGCTTGAAGTACACAAAAATAAATTTAGTATACATCAGTAGCAAGAGTCTTATTTTGTACAAGTTATAGTATGTCCATAAAAAAAATAAAACCCCCTGACATTACATTTCTGTGCTGGCAAATATATTTTCTGAAGCAAAGGCACTTTGAAAACCCAATATGGTTTGGTTCATTAAGTTTGCAAAGTACAAACAATTTTACAAACATATGATTATATTGCAGAATGTCAACAATGTGACATTATATACAAAACAGATTTCCTTTTTTAAACTTTTTTTCTTTTCTAATAACACTGGTTTGTGGGGAATGAGCTGTGGTTTCAGTAGCTTCAGAGAAGACATTACCAATGATCACACAGCCCACAATCTGAATTTCTACCGAAATAAAGATATGATAGTAGAAAAGAAAGAAAAAGAAACCCTTAAAAGAAAATGGTTTGGAAAGAGAGGGCACAAAAAAACAAGACCAAAAGTCCAGGACAGATCCTTTTAATTTTGGCTCCTTAAAAGAGAACTCCTCCACTAGACCATAAAAGATGTGTCTACTTGGTCTTCATCTTGGGTTGTTGTAGTGGCGACGGCTCTGTTTTATAAAAGATGAGGACACAACGTTTTAGACTGTACAGTACCAGAAACCTTTGGTCCAAAGAGCACAATTTCTGACGATTCATTACATGGCAGCAAAGTCAACCTGTACATAAAGTTGCCTTACTCCAGCCTGAAAAATTGTAAAAGAGAAAATCATTGGAAAATAGAACATGACATAATATATCATACAATTCACAAAATGGTAAGTAAAATCTTACTTCTGCATAGGTTCTCAGTGACAGGTAAGAATTGTTAAATATATCACAGAGCAGATTACTGTTCACCTATAGGTTTGGACCAGATGACCTCTGAGGTCCCTTTCACTTATAATCTTATTGGATCAGCTCCCATGGATTCAATTATCATGTCTTTGCAGACGACCCTTAGATCTATTCATCTAGCCCTAACTTCTTTGCTTTGTCTTCTCTTCTAAGTGGAACATCAACCTGAAATATGAATTATTTATAAAAGTTACCAATACCTACATGTAGGTACTAACAGAAGACAAACATTGTGCATCCTTAGCATGTCACCATAAAGTTCCCTGGTCCCCAGTAATCGCTGTAGGAAATATCATCAGTTTTGTCATTCTTTTTTTTTTTTCTTTTGCTATGCCCTAACCATTTATATTTTCTAAAGGCTGTATGTGTGTGTGTTAGAGAGAGGGAGAGGCAGGGTAGAGGTGGTAATACTAGGGCCTTTGGGTATAATAAATGTGTATAATATTGTACAACAAATATAATGGGGCACAATAAAGCCCCATTAAAAGTACAACAACGACTTAGAGATCAGGTGTGAAACTTACCCTGTTTGGTGGCTCAGTGGATGGAATGCCAGACCTGTAGCCAAGAAGATTTGAGTACCTGGCCTCAGATACTTATTAGCTGTGTGGATAAATCCAAGGCCATACAGTAACTAGGAAATACAGGAACTGGAATTCACACCCAGGTCTCCTGACACTGGGCTCAACCCTCTTTCTGTTCCACCTAAGCTATGTCCATACTGTACTCTGGCTTAGGCGAATGTGGGACTTTCAACAAAACCTGATAATTCTCTAGAAATGGAAATCTTGGTCACTGGAATCCCAAGTTTCCCTTAAAAACAGTAGTGAGTTAATATTATTCCTTGTTTAGTCTTAATATTTAATATCACCCCTAAAATATGACGGGGGGGGCAGAGGGTTGGTTCACATATTTTTTTATGGTAATTTTTATTTATTTTTTTTTGTTTTCAACATTTACTTCCACAAAAGATTTTGAGTTCCAAATTTTCACCCCATCTTGCCCCTCCCCCACCCCAAGATGGCATGCATTCTAAATATCCCTTCCCCTAGTCTGCCTTCCCTTCTATCTCTCCCCCCATTCTCTTATCCCCTTCCCCTTCAATTTTCCTGTAGGGCAGGATAGATTTCTATACCCCATTTCCTGTATTTCTTATTTCCCAGTTGCATGTGAAAACATTTTTTTAAAAAACACTTGTTTTTAAAACTTTGGGTTCCAAATTTTCTCCCTTCCTGCCTCCCCACCCACCCTTATTGAAAAGGCAAGCAGCTCAATATAGGTTACACATGTGCAGTTATGCAAAACACTTCCATAGAAGACATGCTGTGAAAAAACTAACTCTATTTCCCTTAAACCTATACCACCCACCCATTTATTCTATTCTTTCTTTTGACCCTGTCCCTCCTCAGAAGTATTTGTTTCTGGTTACACCCTTTCCCAATCTGCCCTCCTCTCTATCATTCCCCTACTCTCTTATCCCCTTCCCCCCCTATTTTCCAGAAAGGTAAGAAAGATTTCCACACCCAATTGAGTGTGTATGTTATTCCCTCCTTAAGTCAAATCCTATGAGAATAAGATTCACTCATTCTCTCTCACCTTCGTTTCCCCTCCACTGTAAGAGCCTTTTCTTTTCTGTTGGTTTTTTGTTGTTTTTTTTTTTTTTTTTTGTGGGATAATTTACCCCGTTCTACCTCTCCCTTTCTCCTTCTCCTAGTATAATCCTCTCTCACCCCTTAATTTTATTCTCCAGATATGAACCCTTCATTTTCAACTCACCCTGTGCTCTCTATCTATCTATATCTATATATACATACATATAATTTTTTCCCCTCCAACTACCCTAATACTGACAAAGGTCTCATGAATTACAAATATCATCTTTCCATGCAGGAATGTTAACAGTTCAACCTTAATAAGTCTCTTATGATTTTCTCTTTCCTGTTTACCTCTTCATGTTCCACTTGAGTCTTGTATTTGAAAGTCAAATTTTCTATTCAGCTCTGGTCTTTTCATCAAGAATGCTTGAAAGTGCTCCATTTCACTGAATGACCATTTTTTCCCCTGCACGATTATACTCAGTTTTGCTGGGTAGGTAATTCTTGGTTGTAATCCTATCTTCTTTGCTCTCCAGAATATTATATTCCATGCCCTGAGGTCCCTTAATGTAGAAGCAGCTAAATCTTGTGTTATTCTGATTGTGTTTCCACAATACTTGAATTGTTTCTTTCTGGCTGCTTGTAATATTTTCTCCTTGACCTGGGAACTCTGGAATTTGGCTACAATATTCCTAGGAATTTTCCTTTGGGGATCTCTTTCAGGAGATCGGTGGATTCTTTCAATTTCTATTTTGCCCTCTGGTTCTAAAATATCGGGGCAGTTTTCCTTGATAATTTCTTGGATGATGTCTAGGCTCTTTTTTTGATCATGGCTTTCAGATAGTCCAATAATTTTTACATTGTCTCTCCTGGATCTAGTTTCCAGGTCAGTTGTTTTTCCAATGAGATATTTCACATTGTTTTCTAACTTTTCATTCTTTTGGATTTGTTTTACACTGTCTTGATTTCTCATAAAGTCACTAGCTTGCAATCGCTCTATTCTAATTTTTAAGGAAGTACTTTCTTCAGTAATCTTTTGGACTTCCTTTTCCATTTGGCCAATTTTGCTTTTTAGGGCATTCTTCTCCTCATTGGTTTTTTGGACCTCTTTTGCCATTTGGGTTAGGCTATTTTTTAAGGTGTTATTTTCTTCAGTATTTTTTTGGGTCTCCTTTAGCAAGCTGTTGACTTGTTTTTCATGATTTTCTTGCATCACTCTCAGTTTTTCCTCTACTTCTCTTACTTGCTTCTCAAAATCCCTTTTGAGCTCTTCCAAGGCCTGGGACTGACTCACATTTTTCTTGGAGGCTTTGGATGTAGGAGCTTTGGCTTTGTTGTCTTCTTCTGGTTCTATGTTTTGATCTTCTTTGTCACCAAAGTAAGATAATATAGTCTGACTCTTTTTGCGCTGCTTACTCATGATTCCGGCCAATTACTTGAGTTTTAAACTCTCTGTTAACGTAAAAGTCTGCTTCCAATGTGAAGAGTGTACTGTCCCAAGCTTCGGGGGTTTGTACAGCTGTTTTCAGAGGTACTTCTAGGGACCTGAAAATTTTCAGTTCTTCCAAGGTGCTATGATAAGGGGCGAGGTGTTTTCTCTCCACCGCCACAACAAGCTCCACCACACCAGCATTCCCCTCCTCATTCCAAGACCGCCCCTCAGAACTGTGACCCAGATCCAAGCACTGGTAAAGCAAGAGATTCCTGCCTCAGCACTGGCAAAGAGATCCTTGCAATCTTCCTCTGATCAGCCACTGGATTCCCCCTCAGTCTGTGGGCCTGAAGCTCAGGAAAAAGCTCGGCTGAAACCTAACTCCTCTCTCACCGCAGACACAGACTTTTCCCACTGACCTTCTAAGTTGTCTTTGGCATTCAGGGGTTGAGATGTCTGGAAACCGCCACAGCTGCCCACAATTCAGTCCTCTGAGGCCTGCTCCAGGGTCGCTGGGGCCTGTGAGCCCACACCGAACTGCGCTCCTCTCCCTGCCTGGCACGATATACCTTTCCGATCAACCATCTAGGCTGTCTTTGGCTGGAAATTTGTTTCACTCTGTCTTTTTGTGGATTCTGCTGCTTTAGAATTTGTTTAGAGTCATTTTTTTTAGGTATTTGGAGGGGTTTGGGGGAAAGCTCAAACAAGTCACTGCTTTCCCTCTGCCATCTTGGCTCCGCCTCCTCAGTTTTGTTATTCTTATGGAAAAATTGTACATCTACTGCACATTGCTACCTAACAAAAATAATAATCACGATAACAATAACAACTAGCATTTATATGGCACTTATCATATGCCAGGCACTGTGCACTTTACAAATATCTCATTTGATCCTTGCAACAACCCTGGGAAGTTGATGCCACTACCCCTATTTTACAGATGAAAAAACTGAGACAAACAGAAGGTTAAGTGACTTGCCCAAAGTTACATAGCTAGTAAGTACCTGAGGTCAAATCTGAATACAAGTCTTCCGGACCCTAGGTCAGGTATTCTTATCTACTTCACCACTAGCTGATATGGTCAACCATCTGTATGCCCTTTATGACCTGGTCCCCTTATATCTTTCCAGTCTCCTTTTATTTCTAGTGCTTTTCCTCTGTTAATTATTTTAATATTATTATTTATGCATTTTTCAGATAGCTTGTTTATACATATTTGTTTGCTTGTTTTCTCCCACATTAGATTGTGACCCCCTCAAGAGCAGAGACTATTTTTTGCCTTTCTTTGTATCTCCAATACTTAGTACAATGGCCGGCACATAAATACTTCTTGACTGACTGACCAGGCAAATACTTTTTATCATACTTAAAAAAAAAAATCCTTCTATGCTTGCTATACTTTAGAGTTTTGTTTTTTTTTAATATAAATAAGGACCACTGTCCATCAGCACTTCTTCACCTCTCTCTACCAGTCGTCTAACCCTAAAGAGGAGCAAGAACAGTTTTAATGGGCAGGCTGGGACTGAACCCACATATAGGCCTGGCCAAGCAATAAATCAACTCTGCTCAGCACTGGGGAAACAAGCACAAAGAATGAAACAATTCATACTTGTAAAGAGCTTACATTCTACTAAGGGAGATAACAAGTATATATAAATATAAATATATGTATGCATATATAAAAATGCATGCAGCATAAATATAAATAAATCCAAGTGAATAATATATAGGAAGTGAATACACACAGGCAAAGTAGTTAATTCAATGCATGGTAGTTTGAGAAGGAAGAAAAGTTTAATATACAAGATGGTGCCTGAACTGC